TTTTGGAGAAACTTTAAAAATTTGTAAAGAATTTAATTTTTATTGGAACCAGCCAAAACTTTCTAAACAACATAAGTACATGCATATGCATCAGATAAACTTATAAAAATGGAGAATTCTCTCCTTGAAATTTTTTACAAAATTTGGTCGATGATCGTATAATATAGGGAATTTTGTCAAATTTTAGAGCAACTTTTAAAATTGTGTAAAAAAATTAATTTTGATGAAAATAGCTAAAGCAACGTAAGAACATGTATATGTATCAAAAAAATAAAGAATTTTCTTTTTGCAACTTTTAACGAAATATCATGGACTGTGCTCAAAATAATTTTTAGAGCACCATACTGTAAAAATTTTAATATACCAAATCCTGTGGTTTTATGCCAGTGGTTTTATGTTTGCTATTTGCTATGCATATAGTTCTTTTATGAAAAAATTGTATGCCCTCAATACATGTATTGTATATAAATAGACACAATAGAGTCCATTGTTGTTTACTTGTACACTTATGTACCTTTAGGTTTGAGAACACCATTGCTGGTCAGTTCTTTGGGCATTGTCATGAGGACAGGTTTCATCTTATGGTGGACTTTGAACCCAACACTCCTCCTAGACCATATGGGTAAGAGAAGAAAATACACAAACTATTTGATTATTAAAAAATTTTCTTGTAGTATATTATACCTAGGTCCTAGTGTAACCACTTATTCCTATCAGAATGCAGGATATAGGATTTATACTGTTGATGGTAATTACAATGAGTCCTCTAGACAAGTACTGGATCATGATACATACATACTAAACATTACTGATGCTAATCTTACTAATAAACCAAAATGGATCCATGAATACTCAGCTAAAGTAAGACAATGAGTATTGTAATGATATATTATCATGAGCATATAGGATGCATACAATATGACTAATCTCACACCTGATGGCTGGTTATCTTTGCTGAAGGAATTTTTAACTAATAACGATCTCTTTTTGAAATATTATCAGTAAGTGTGCCATTACATACCTTCTATCTGGCATATAATGTTTAATATTACTATTGCTGGAAATTTTTGTCATTATAAGTAGTACTATTATGTGACAATTGCCATTGCTATTTGGCCAAATTTTAATGCACTATAGCGCCTGCTCATTTTAAAAATTCAGTTTTAAAAAATGTAAAGGGTGATCAAGCCTAAGTTAGCAATGCATTGCATAGATCATTATGATGGCACTGGATTTAGTACAGTATCGTAATTGTTTATTATAGGCACTTATGTAACCTTTAAATGTACTGCATATTCTTTTTATTCCTTATACAAATCTAATACTAGTGCT